GTCAGGGACTGCGGCCGGTGCCTCTGGGGTGGAGGCGGCGTCAGAGCTGGTGCGCTGCGTCTGGGATGTGTGACCTCGAGGTGTCCACGAGGCCTCTAAGGGGAGTCAGTTGGGCCAGAGAGATGATAAGACACTGGCTTTTGGAGCAGAGTCTAAAATTTGAACTTTTTACCGATTCATAGCAGCCGGGCTGGGCTGGGCTCGGAATGCGGAGCCGGTGGCGGAGGAAAGTCCCCGGGGCCCTGGGCGGCGGCCCTGCCTGTCCCCAGCCCATCACGCGCCCCTCGAGCCTGGATCGACCTGGTCACTTATGTCCACATGCCTTGGCTCGCCAGGAACTTCTTGTCCGTTTGTACTTCGAGCAGCTGCAGCGCGCAGAACTCCAGATAAAGCCCTCGGAAAGGCCGGCTGGAGCACTAATGACGTCACTGTTGGAAAGCGACCCGGGCGCGGATCAAACTCCGGGGCGTCGTCTCATCCCGCGAACCAAATGCCGGCTCCGGCCCTGCCAGTGACGTCCCGGACGGCTGCGATTTCAAGCGCTGAAATCAGCCTCGCACTGAAGGCTCCCCCGACCCGGACGGAGCTGCCGGGGCCGCGCGTGGCCACCTCTCCGCCCCTCCGTTTCGGTCATCGATCCGGCCGAAGACCGGAGGGAAGGGCTGAACCGGAGCCATCGTCCTCAAATGCGAGGGCGTTAAGATGCCGCAGCGACACGGAGCCGTCGGCCGGCGTGGGACACGGAACGGGTGATCTAAAAAAAATCTGCGAGCCTCGCAGCGATCGGCCGACGCTTCCGTCACGTCCGCCCTTCTCCAGACTTCGGCAAAAGATGGAGTTAAAAACAAACGCTTTCGGTTTGCTTAAATGACAGTCCTTGGAAGAAGCCAGCGACCGATAACGCACGCTGGGAGCTGCCGGGCTGGTCAACAAAGCGCTCGGAGCAAAATGGTCCCTTTCAAAATGGTTTAAAAAAAAAGAAGCATCAAGTAAATAAAGGTAATTAAGGACGTAAGGAAAACCGCCGCGCGGACTCTGAGACAGGGTCGGGGCGGAGACGCCGCGACGGCGTGCGTGTGCGTGCGTGCGTGCGCGTGCGCGCGCGCCGTCTTAAATCTTCCCTCCCACGGGGTCTTGTTCGGTTTTGTTTTGACAAATGGACACGATCGGCTTTTAAGGGAAGCGGGTGGATCGCGCATTCCATCACTTATCAGAGCGTTTTTATACAATGCGGACTGGAGCTAATTAAAATAAAACGCCATCCGCATCCGAGCGAACGTTATCGTAAGGCCTAGAACATTCATTCCCAGCTCGCTCATCCAAACACATGGGCCATTCGAAGTCTCCCAGTAACATCAAATCATCTTTTCCTTTTCTAATCACGCCGATTACACGGCTCTCCGAAGGCTGGGGTGTCGCCGAAAGGGCGTCGCGAATGTAGGTAAACGCCCCGGTGCGAGAAAAGACAGCATTTCTGTAAAAGAGCGAATTTTGCCTAATACGTCATCGGAATGGCCACGCAGAGTAAATATTAGTCAGACTGACGGCTCGTTGATCTGCTGTGCGTTAAATCCAGACCGATCTCAACGGAGCCGGGGAGTCGGGGTGCGATTCCGGTGGCCGCCGTCGAACTGTCCCCGGGCCGGACGGTGTCACGGAGCTGCAGGCGGGCGCGCGGGCTGTTTGCCTTCGCTCGCTCCTCTTTCTTGGCAGGAAGCTCTGGGAGCGGCCCTGCCGGGAGCTCATTAAGAAGCACTGTATAAAAGGGATTTTTATGGGAGAAAAACCTCACGGCCGGGGCCTCCGCCTAGCAAGTCTGGCCTCCCGTCTCCTCGCGGACACAGCCGACGGCCGGGAAGGCTGCGCCTGCGGTCCCTACGGAAAATAGCGCTGAGGTCGCAGCTACGTGGAGGGGCCAGGGGCTCCACGTGGTAGTGGAGGCGGGTCTGCGGCTCCCCCGGCACCCCCGAGCCCCCCGAACCCGTGTCCCTGGCGCCACCCCCCCACCCGCGGGCTCCCTCATCCCGCTCGCCGGACACCAGGCCCTGCTGGGCGGGCATCTCGGCATCCCCTGTGCCTCTGAGCTCAGTTACATTTTTGGAGGGAAGACGAGGGCCGTCGAGTTAACACCCTTATGCGTTTTAAAACGTAGTCACGCGAAAAAGAGAGAGTTTACAAAGCACAGGTTGAGACTCTTTTGAGTCCGCCTTGGTTCCAGCCATTGAGAAAGAGTTTAATACTCAGAAGCCCCAGAGAAAGGGGACCAAGAAAGCCACCGTCCCTCCCTCGTCGCATGCCCGCGTCGGGGGGCGGGGGCTCCCCACTGCATGCAGCCTCCTGCCCCTCGTCGGAACTCGCCGTGAGTCGCACGTGATGACTCCAGAGACTTCAGATGAGGAGCTCGCATGGCGTCTTCCCAAGCCAGGTCATTCACATGTCACGCGAGCGGGGGCCGGGCACGGCAGCACCTCCCTCCGGAGCCGAGAAGCTTCTCCGCACGTCGACAGGCGACAACCGCTGTGTTCGCAGGCCCGTGCGCCCCTCCCGCTCGGTGACACAGAGACAGGCATGGGGTCTGCTGCCCCTTCTCCGTCCTGTCAGAATGAGCGACTGCCACCTGGCTCTGCTTCCCAGAGGGACAAACGCTCCAGCCCCTGAAAATGCCACCTCCTTCCCGTTCCAGGGAGCGGACACGTGAGGGTGTGACCCCAGCCCGCACGGTCGGGGGCGATGCCGTGTGTTACGCTGCCCAAGCACACGGCGACCCCTTAATAAACACCGAATTCCCTTCCTGCTGCCCCCAGGCACCCGCCACCCATAAAACAAATCCGGAAACGTGCAAGGCGTGTCTGCCTCGTCGCGGCCCAATGACACGAACGTCCCATGGGGAGCGCTGAAATCAGAACCCACAAAGGGATGCCCCAGAGGCAGGGATGTCGAGGGCAGTGTCCCCAGCCTGGTCAATGCTAAAGGAGCCACACCGTCAGCGGGGTGGTGGGGGACAGCATCGTGCCAGCCTGAGAGCCCACAGCACCACCAGCACCAGCTGTGAGACCAGGCCGCTTCCCTGTCCCCAAACTGGGACTGAGCGGTGGCCACCTTTCTTTGTTGGGGCTGCGACCGCTTCTCACGTGAACTTCATTTTCTGTCACATGGCTCATCGCCCCGGGACATATCGCATATTTTTCCATTTTCTGTGTCATTTTCTGTCAGCCCCACCCCCCATCCCGGTGGCCCTGCTGTGGACAGAATCTGTCAGTCACCCGTGAGTGAATGAAGCCGTCACAGGCTCACTTGGCCATCCGAAAATTTTCATTTTACCAAATACCTGTTGACTGATATTTGTCAAACATCAATCTCAAACCTATACAGAAAGGAAGTTCAGTTAAGCACCCGAGAAAATTCAAATCATATTAAAACTTAAAACGTCAGCCTCTTTTCAAATGCATTTATCACAACGCTCACTTGAATTGCCTCGTCTTTTTGCCTTCGTGGTAAGAGTCACATACTCCCCTCCTATTATCACGGAATATCTTGTTGATTCTTAAACATTTAAAATATCGACAGGTCTGCACTCGATTGTCGCTTGCACCAAAAGTCGAGAATTTAGATTCTCAAGTCTGACGGGGACCGACTGTCCGGAATGTGCGGTGGTCCGATACGTGGCGACGCGTCTGTCTCTTTTTTATTCAAAGTGACACAGAAAACTAACGGCCAGCTAGGGTCACGTGAAAATCCAGACCCAGCCACCTGTGGGACCACAGACCCGAGCGACAGCAAACAGCACTCTGCGTACCTGGGGGTCCATTCTGAGGAAGGTGTGAGGGCCTCGGCTGCTCCGCGTGGACCTTTTAAAGGTCTTACTGTGATAAAAATGATAGTAATCATCCAGGCTCCCGATCTGCAAAGCAAGAGGCAGAATGTCATTGGGTAAAGCAGTCTGCAAAGAGCTTCGAACGCCCTCCGTCCCACGAAAACCTGGGACATTCCCCGAGCAGGTCCCTCTGCTCCTGGGGCCGCGCACCCTCCGCGACGCCCCCGCTCACGGCCCTGACATCTACTTCGCGTTCATGAACGTGACGGGGGCTTACACGCTCCTCCCGGGACAAGCACACTAGGGGTGTCCACAAAGCACACACGCCACCCGGTCTCGGCACCCGCGCAGCCGGCGAAGCTTTTCAGACGTGAGTTCAATGTTCATTTAGGGTCGAGCATCCCCGAAGTAGCTAAGTTAGTGTCGAGTCAGGTCTGCGCCAAAATATTCATTTATAAACAAACTCCATCCTCTCGGCCCCACGGGGGAAACTGAAATATCTAAGGACGAACATTCGCTCCCAAGCTTGAGGAAGCCAAAGAAAACACGCGACCCCATCTGCTTGCGGGGTGTGCAAAGGCCGGACGGGAACACGCGAACGCCCGCGGCGCCCGCCTCTCTGCCAGGGGTGGGTGGTCGGGACGGACTGCAGCCTGAGGCCTGGGGTGGGGGACCCCGAGGACGGCTGGGGCCTCCAGCACGAGTGGCCCTCCCTGGCCCTCGTGCCTGGCGACCCCTGAGCGTCAGGACACTGCTGACAGACCTGCCCCTCGTCCTTTCTCTGGTGGCTGAAAACAGCTCGTTGGTCTCGCCATCCTTGAGAGAGGAGCTTTTAAGTGGAGATGGACCAAATAGTACGTAGACCCCCAGGCTACAAGCCCCCCGTTTTTTCTCTAGCTTCTGATGAAGGGGTGAATTTAAGACGGGATGTCCTACGGAGTAGTTCCACGTGGCGACACCAGCACGGGTTTTGGGGTGATGAAGCAGCTTCAGACCCCGCCCCTCCCTTCAGCGACAATGCTCGACTCTTCCCATCCTAACCCGTACCTGCGACACGGTGATGGCCTGCTCGCTCCCTGCAGGTGAGCAGGCTGAGCGTGCCCGATTCGCGACCCCACGCACAGCTGTTTCGTCTGCTGTTTCGTCGACCCGACCCCAAGATCGCTGATGGCCCAGGCAGACACCCGGGGGTGAAGACGCCCTGGGTGCCCGCGCCCACATCCCCCACCGGAAGGCAGGGCAGGTGTGCACGCAGAGCGCCCCCGGCCCGCGCGCGCCTACCGCCCGCTCCGGGGTTCAGGAGATACCCCCCCCGTTTGTGAAATAGAGAACTTCCTTCTCTACCTCAGCTCGCTCCGAGATTTCTGTCGCTATAGCCACAGGACGCGAAATACTAGGACAGCCGTGAGGACCAACCGGGGAGCATCCGCGCAGGGCCCGCCCTAGGCCTTCCGCCCCTCACCTGTCCCGACGCTTCGGCTTCTGGCCAAACCTGGGGCTGCACCCCGACTCGAGCTCTTCCTGTGGGGGGACCTGGGCTTGGTCCCTCTGTGACCGAGTTTCCTCACCAGAATAAGGACCACGTGACAGGCTGCCCCAAGACCTAACGCGCACACACGCGGCGGCGACGGGGCAGGTGCCGGCAGGTGCGCGCTCGGGAGCGGTTCTCAGCAGTTACCGACTCAGATTGTTTTCCGCCTCGACCGTCGAGCTCGCTCCCGCGGCCCCGTTCTGCACACGGCGCTGTGGCCCCTCCTCCCACGGACACCACCGCGCTCACGGCTCCAGCAAAGCTGGCCGCGGCCCCTCACGTGGGTCCGACTTGTCACCGATCCCCATAAGAATGTCTAATGATTTTTCAAGGGAAAATTTGCAGGTCAGAAGGGAATGGCAAGAAATATTCAAAGTTATGAAAAACAAGAATCTATACCTACAGATACTCTACCCAGAGGGCATCCGCGTCAATTCTGGCTCGGGGACACGGAGGGACACAGGCACGGCTGCCAGCCCAGCCCCTTCGGCCTCGACTGTCCTTTCTACAGAGACCCACCTTGTCGGACGGCCCAGGAGGCCACTCTCGCCGCCTGGCTCACACTGACTGCCACAGCTGGGGTCACCCTGGGCGTCACCCTGGCTCACGCTGACTGTCACAGTTGGCGTCACCGTGGCAACACCCATTGGTTCACACTGACTGCCACAGCTGGGGTCACCCTGGGCGTCACCCTGGCTCACGCTGACTGTCACAGTTGGCGTCACCGTGGCATCACCCATTGGTTCACACTGACTGCCACAGCTGGCGTCACCCCGGCGTCACCCATGGGTCAGCACGGAAGGATGAAGGTGGCAGAGCGGGAGGCGCGTGTGCCCGACTGCGTGTGGAACACAGCCCCGCAGAAGTCACCTCGGCTCGGACCGACGTAGCCCCTCCCGGCTCTCTCCTCCTCCCCGACCAGTCTAAGCCCTTCTCAGCTTCTCACGCGACCGGCCGCAGCAGCGCCCACCCCGGGGGTCCCCTTCCCCAACTCGAGGGGCCACCGCCCCAGGTCTCCGGTACCTCTGTGATGTTAACAGGGCAAGGTGACTCTTGGGTGTGGTCACTGGTGGGGATGTGGCCACTGGTTAAACATGAGGGCTCCCGACGCCAGACCAGCAATGTCCTCGTCCCGTCCACAGACAGGTGACACCGTCGGACGCCAAATGACACGCACGTACGCAGAGCTGGGTGGGTCTGGGATTCTTGCTCCACGGTCAGGGCCAAACGGACGAGAGCGGAATCGCAGGACCAGACAGAGGCGTGGGCGACATGGAGACCTTTACGGCGACCGTCCAAGCGAGGGGGTCTTCTCTTCGCTGGACACCGGCACCGATGGCCCTGCCCCCGGCTCAGCAGCCCTGGGCGTACTGGGCTGCGGTCCCCGGCCACGGCCTGGGCAGCGTGTCCGCCAGGCCTCACGGTGCCCCGGCGGCCTCAGCTTTCGAGCCGGTGTCTGAGCGGCCTGCCTCGGCGGACACAGATCGTGCCCCGTCCCCCCGGGCCACCCGCCAGCCCCGCTCAGCCCCGAGCCCGGCCGGAAGCGCCATCTGCCACTCAGCCAGGCGGCCGCGCTCCGGCCCAGCGGCGACTCTTCTTTGTCAGTCGCGATCTGAGATCACAATGGTGCTTTTTCCTCTTCCTCGTCTACGTGTTTTCACGACTTCGGGGCCCCTTAGCGCAGCACCCGGAAACCCGCCAGGGGTGTCACGCTCACGTCTCCTCCGTCACTCACGTTGGGAGGGGATGACACGCGGCAGCCCGCGAAACTGGCCACGTCATTAAAATACCATTGGAAAGCTCTGCGACGCGCTCTCGGCCAGACACGGGAAGGGGTGTGACCACGAAGCCGCAGCGAGGACCCACCATCGGACCTCTAGAAACATCTCGAACCACGCGCACGGCACGAAGCGTGGACGCAAGGTCACAGCCTGAGTGGGACCCGCGGCTCCTCCCCGCTACGGGCAGCCCCAGCCCTGTGCCCCGGCTGTCCCTCGGCACCGCTCGGGGCGGGGGTTCCCCGAATGGACCAGGGCCCGGCCCCGCCAGCACCCCGTCTCCTAGCGACACCTGCCGTTTCACGTTCATGCCAGCCGCCTCCCGGCGAAGTGACAACCTCTCGCTCCATTTCCAACCCTCACCGCCACCAGGAAGCCCACCGGGACCTCCCGGCTCTGGTCTGCCCACACGTGGCTGTCACTGCCCAGCCACCTTCCCTCTCTGCGTGCACGCACCTCAAAAGCAGGAGCTGTCACCTGCAAATCCCCGATGTCCCATGAACTCGGGAGCTCAAACAGCGGTGAAGGAACAGACTTCACACGACACTGAACACACGGTCCTTCCCTTTCCGCTCGCGACCGTGTGGTTGCCCAGCGCAGCCTTGAGTCTGGGGGCAGGGTCCCCCAGACCCCTGGCCTCCTGGCCCCGGGCGGGCTGTCTGGCCTTTGCGTTCTCCCTGGCCCCCTCCCAGGCAGGCTGCGGAGTCTGGCAGGCCACCTACCCACGGAGGGGCCCGGGCGAGGCCCCAGCCGGCCCCTGTGAGCTCCACACCCAGGGGTGCCCGGCCCCACACCCCTCACGCAAACTGGCCTGGGACAGGAGCTCCCCCGGGACCACAGGTGGGATGGGCGTAAACCCCTCGAAGCCAAATAAGGAAGGGGCGGAAGCCAGGTGTGCCGGGCGAGGCCTGGGCCCCGGTGTTGACAGGAAGCTCTCTGACCCTGCTTCTTCCCGTAAATGTGAGTACAGCCAGGTCGGACGTGAGGTCGGAGGGGTCCATCCGTGGGTGCTGTGCAGCTTGTCCAACCAGAGGAAGACGAGACGACCTGGCATTTTTGTGATTCCCAAGGAAGGGGCAGGGGCCCCATCTAACTTATCGCGTTTGATTTGCAGCAAAGAGGCCACATCTACCCCGAATGACGTTCGGTCGTTCCAAAGGTCCAACCGCCCACTCAGCTCGCCACCCGGCCGGACATCAGACGCAGGTGCAGATCCCTAAGCCCTGGAGCCGGCAAGCTGGGTCGTGGGTGGGGAGTGGGGGGTTGCTGAGCACAGACTTTGCTCAGGCCACAGAAATGCCACCTCCCTCTCCAGGCCGGCAGCTCAATCTGCCCAGCGGAGCAGCTGATAAGCAGCTACAAAATGTCACATTCAAGGTCTCAGCAATGAATGGGCTGTAGATGAGGTTTCTGACTTTGCACAAACAAATTCCCAAGCCCGGCCGGCCAACTCGCCGCCGAGGTGAGCGGCGTCTTCCGAGGACCCAGGTTTTGGGGGGAGAATCTATGTTTAAAAGTCACAGGCGTCAGACTTCAGTTATGTGAGCTTATTGATCCCGCTTGGTCTGCTTAAGAAAAACATAAATAATTAGAGCCTATAAAAACCTACACACCAAATTAATTCTTTCTCTAGTGACTTCCACCCAAAGAAAGTTATAAATATAGATGGGCGCTGAACCTATACTTAGCCAGCCTTGGGTTACCTGGTATTTATAATGAAGGAAGTCCAGAAGGGAGACAATGGACGTTTTGTTGTTATTTTTTAAACCATTAAAAAAAACTGCTTCCCACTTTAGTCACATACACACAGAGCAACATTGTTACTGCGATAATTATAATTCTGACCCAAGTAAAGATTATTGCACAACTTCCTAGTCTCCTAAATTCGCTCTCTTCGACACGTATTCACCCAAAAGTATGCAATTAAGCCGCTCGGCTTCGTACGCATTCCTGAAAAATTTTTTTAATTTTTACTCAGTAGACTTCATTCTCTCTTCCCCGAAGCCGCCAAACCCAACAATCTGGCTTCAGATGAGGATGTTTCGTTTATACACCTGGCCTCAGCCTGTGTAGCTTTAACATCCACAAAGAGCCATCTGACAAACTCTACAATCTTTACTGTGAAGACCTTTGTTTTAAACCATTTACCGGTTAAAGGTTTTGGGGTTTTTTTGGCTGTTGTTAGTTTTTTGGGTTTTTTTGTTTTTTTTTTTTAATGGCTATCTGGAATTAATCATTTTACCAGATTTTAAACCCAACCCCGCTTTGTGTTCATTTTCGTTGTTTTTTGTTTCGGTTGAAAAGTACGAAGCCTCCTCCTCCTCCTGAAAAAACTTGGTCCTAAAGGTGTCATCCGCGGCAGCACGTGGCTTCTGGGTGACGGGGGAGAAGACGGAGGGGAGGCCTGGGGGTGGCCCGGTGCTGGGGAAGGTGTCCGTGCTGGGCGGGGGTCCTGGGCGAGGGCAGAGGGCAGCCCACCCCAGGTGTGGGAGCCCAGGCAGGCCGCGGAGGGTGTCCTCACGCCGGGGTGCAGGACACGTGACAGGCCGGTGACCCTCAGGGGCGCGAATCGGGTGTGGTAACCGTGGGCAGCAGGCGCCTGATTTCTCCCCGTTGGAGAAGATGTGTGGACGGGGAAGCTAGACGGGGCTCTGCGGTGTGGACCAGAATTGGATTTCCACGTGACTTTCCTTTTCGATGTCCACAGAGAGACACGTAAATACACGTGCGTGCGTGCGTGTGTATGTGCGTGTGTGTGCGTGTGTGTGTGTACACAGACACACAGCCCGTCGCTCCCACGGGACAGGCTGTGAGCAGCGAGCCCACCCAGCGCCCAGGTCATGGCTTCTAAGAGGACCCAGGGCTCCTTGGAGAGATGGCCGAGTCCACGGTCAGGGCGAGACATGCGAGAGGCACCTGGGAACCACGTGTGCGCGGAGGGGGCTCCGGGGACATCTCACATGTCACGAGGACACAGGAGCCAGGCCGACGGGCCAACCCGGGCACACGCGGAGCAGCAAAACACACAGTCACCCTCGCGGGTTACGATCCGTGAGTAAAACAGGAAACTATGAGTCCAGATCTGACTGACGATAAATTTCAAGTTTCCTAGAAATGGGCTATTTTCACATAGTTTCAAAGTGCCGCTCCCCAAAATATTCGCTAATTACAAGGGGGAAAAGAAGCTCTGCAGGGCAAATCGAGGCAGACAAACCCCCCCTGTCAGGTGATCAGCAACAGTGTCACCAGCGACAGGGTCGCCAAAGTGCAGGCTCCGTGGTCCGCGCAGAGAGACCCTGTGTCACTTCTGGGGGACGGGGGCTGCCGTCGCGAGCGAAGAACCCGAATCTCAGCACCAGCCAAGGGCACACGAACCGAAGTGGGGGGTCACTGCACGGAACGGCCTGACACGGGAAAGGGCCACGTCACGAAAGCGCGGGGACGGCTCCGGAACGGGGGGCAGGGTCGCGCGAAGCTGGGGCGCAGCCAGACGCCACGGAAACGCCGACGGCGGCTCATCGTGGGCGTTACGGGTCCCTAACAACGTACCGGGCCGCGTTACACGTGGTTCACCTCGACGACCGAGCTCCTGGTGCCCAAGGCCAGTGCCTCGCTGCCCCGACCCCCGACCCCACGGAGCGGCCCCGAGGGCCCCATGTCACCGCGCGGGGCCCTGCCCCGTACACCGCGGCAACCGGCGAAAGCGACGGGCGTGGCGGCCGGATGGTGGCATTGTGTCGCTCCCTGCTGTCTACGGCTGTGCTGCGGCTCCGTAGAGACCGTCCCCCCGTTGACGGGAAAGACGCCCCAGCATGGGGGGCGGGGGCCCAGGAAAGGCCACCAGCCCGCCTGCTGTCCCAGCGACGTAGGGCCATGACCCACGGGCTACGTGGTGGGAGAGGCCGACGGGGTTGCTCTCGGGCGCAGACGGCCCCCCAGGCCACCCCCGCCCCAGCCCTCAC